TATCTATCTATCTATCTACCTATCTACCTATCTACCTATCTACCTATCTACCTATCTACCTATCTACCTATCTACCTATCTACCTATCTACCTATCTACCTATCTACCTATCTACCTATCTACCTATCTACCTATCTATCTATCTATCTATCTATCTATCTATCTATCTAAATATCGCAATACCTATATATCTACATATCTGTATATAAATATAAATGTAAATATAAATATATGTATATATATATATATCATACTTTGGGACGGTTGCAGTGTCGTTGTTCCCACCTTCCGAGTCTCGTGTCCAGGAGGCCACTCCCCCGACTTGACTTGACCGCTACAAGCAGCTGCCTCAGTGTTGCTTTTAGGATTTAAGAAAGGGTTGGAACCGGGCAAAGAAAGGCATGGTGGGATGGACCAAAAGAATCTAAAAAAATTACGTCATGCTGTTTGCGTGAGAAACTGAGATATTTTAACACTTTCGGCATTCCGCCACCCATGTGGCTTGCGGCTGGGACGCCTGGGGGAAGAAAAACAGCAGGTTAAAAACCTAGTTGATGTAAAAACTGGTTGGTTCATGTTGGTGCAGTAGTTGGTGGTGCAAAAACGAGTTGGGGCAAGAAAACCTTTTTGTTGGTAAGCGTGTGTTCGTGATCGGTGACAAGTAGGCTCGCTCGCACGGTGGTTTCGGCGGATTCTGCATCGGTGATGTTGTTTTGTAGATGTTGGTAGCTCTGCACGGCACTGCACGGGGGAACTGCTGAGTCGGGGTGATTCCGGGTTACCCCTGTGGCATTTTGTCTTCTGGGGGTTGCTTTGCAACCAACCTTTCAGCTCAAACTTTAAAACACATCACATTGATGCATTGATGCAGCAGTTCCACAACCCAAAGTCCCATCTTTACCCTCATCTACTCTCCGTTACTCTGAAATGAATGTGAGGTTTAACACGATGTGAGGTTGAGTGGCTTTGCGGGCCACTGAACACGAGATTGAGAAGATGTGGGGTGAGAGGGCGCGAGGTTGAGAGAATGTGAGGTTGAGTGCAGGTGAGGTTGAGTGGATGTGAGGTTAAGAGAATGCAAGGTTGACAGAAGGTAAGTTTCAGTAAAGGTGAGGTTGAGAAGATGTGAGGGTCAGTGAAAGTACCAATTTGTAGGTCAGAGTTTTTCTACAAACTTCCGCGTGGCAATATTCCTCAATATATATATATATACATATATATATATATACATATATATATATATATACATATATATATATACATATATATATAATATATATAATATATATGATATATATAATATATATAATATATATAATATATATAATATATATAATATATATAATATATATAATATATATATTATATATAATATATATAATATATATAATATATATAATATATATAATATATAATATATATAATATATATAATATAATATATATATATATATCGGAGGGAAGACCGCACTGGCGTTTTGCACGCTTTTCGGATGTGCATTCTTCAGATGCTACCGTACGTATGGGGTGGGGGAGGCTAACAATGTTTGTATTTTATGAATGTGTATATCAAGGTGCAGAGCCGTTGCGCGACAAATAGGTTGGGTAGGGTGGGGGGCTGCAGCGTTCACATCAAGTTGCAAAAGTCAGAGATGTTAAGCTACATATAGGCTAAAGTGGGAGGCTAAGAGAGTTGATCAAGTTGCATACGCAAGAGGTGTTGCGCTACATGATGTCGCACAAATAACACATGCTAGCTTGTGTAGAACAACACGCTTTTGGCGCTGGGAATGGCTTGAAACCTGGTGCTTTTGTGTCCCTTCTTCGGCAGCGAAAAAAAAGCAGCGGGCTTGCAAGGATGGTTCAAAAAAACGAATCAAGAGATGCGACCTCCAGATATATACCCTCTGGTAATTTAACATAGCTATTGAAAATGGCAATTTACAGTTGATTTTCCCATTAAGAAAGGTGGATCTTTCCATAGTTTTTTATATGTTTACCAGAGGGTATATACAAATATAGATCATGCACTGGCGATATCCATGTTGCTGCATACGAAACAAAGAAAGATTCTCCTTATCACAGTGATAACATGCAACATCCTGTAACAAAATTGTTCCAAAACTGCAGCACACATCAGCAAACTACAAAGGGTTTCTGATATATACTCAAACCATCTCAAACCATCATTCCTTTCAAATGTGCACTTTCGCCCGCTGGCCGGATGTAATCTCTCTATATATATATATCTCTCTCTATATATACCTCCATAGCCCCCGTTGACATTTCTGACAGTTTCAAACCACAGACTGGAGCTGCTGAGCCGCTCAAAATCCTGGGATTTTTTTCGGTCGCAGGAATTCCTATTGCGATTTTGTTTTGAGTTTCGGAATCCGGGTGTCCTGGAAGCAAGGTTTTTTCAGTGACAATTCTTCATGATCAACTCAACCTTCAGCTGCTTCAGCTTGTCCGAGGTACATGTTGATCCCCGCGCGTTGATGCAGTTGGCATCGCAGTAGTTGACCAAAAATGCAGCTGAGATCGGCCCTGCCTGAGAAAAGAGAAGAAACACAAGGTGATCAGACAGGCTTAGCTTCATGGCAGCAGATCACAGGAGTTCCCGTGGTGGGGCAACCCATGTGACCCGTCTCCTTAATATTTTGAGCCTACCTTGTTCAGCTTGCCAGCCTTGCTGTACATATACCCCGCAAAGATGTGATGCAGCAATTTCGCCGAGTGCAATAGCTCGTTGCTTCGGGATTGCGGAAGATTTGAAGACCAGTTCACAGCACAGTTCTTCTCATTTGCCTGATGGTGCCTGCTTTAGAGCGCAATGTGTGCCACACTCAGCGAAGAGTTTCCAAACGTCGTTGCTGCTTCAGGGATTACGGACTCATTTCCCTAATGGTGCCTGATCTAGCCTTCGGTGCGCAATTTGTGCCACACTCAGCGAGGAGTTTCCAAACGTAAGTTTTGTCATTCATTCAATGTGAGCGCTCCACTTCAAGCGTCCTGCAAAAGCTCGGTGACTTCACACACCAAAGCGATTGCGAGATGCACCAAGTCTTGTTTCAGCCCGAGTTTCTGTTTCAGCCGAGGAGAGGGAGTGCCAAGTTGCCAAGCAATCCGAAACGTGACCAGCAAGTGAAGACTTCTTTCTGTATCCATCATTTAACTTCCACATAAAAACTATTTAACTTAGAGCAATGACCGGCAGTCTCGAAGAGCAATAGGATTTGTCGCTAAAAGGTTGACATGTCGTCAAACAACCCTAGCCTGGCCAGGCCCGCTGGCCGCCGCTGGCCAAAAAAAAGGATTCCAAGCCATCCGAGCCATTGCGTTGCATTGCGCTTGGACATTTGATGCCAGGATAAGACTGCTAAGAATGCATAAGGGTTGTGTTTTTCCGGGCCACCTTGTCAGATTGTCTGCAGGGTTGGTTGATGGTGCCGGTCTTTCAATGTGTCAGCTGTAGTCACCGTTCTGTCAGTTTTCAACATGTGCCAAACGTGTGAATGGATGTGGTTCAGCTGGCTTCAGAAGTGAGCAATTTCGCACAGTGTTTTCTCTTGCCTGGAATTTCCAGGGCATCAAAGCAGTCATGTCGGCACAGATGAAGAATGAGAGAAACAGGTGACAGCGCAAGGATCGTCAACCAGCCCGTGTCCAGTGGACGCATAACACAATATTCATTTGCGGCCTTAAGCGCTTTACATTTAGCCCAAGACACCTCCTTGTTCTCGCAAGGGATAGGGAATGGAGCAGTCTAGGTTTAGCTGGTCCAGTTGAACTGCACTGCACCAGTTGAACTACACCAGCTAGCAAAGGGAATTGATCGGAGCCGTCGATTTCTCGTTCATCCACTTTGCAAGCCACATCATTGAATTGAAATTTAGCTCTCGATTTGAAGTCCTGCATCAAGGGGGGTTGTTGAGTGCGACAGGTCAGGTGATGCTTCAGTGACTGTGAAATTTAGCTCCAGGAAGTTTCACGCAAAAGCGTGGGACGGTTCCCAGGGTTTGCTTCTGCAGCTCCTGCGTGTAATTGTGCAATCTTGGAGCTAAAGGTTTCCCCCCAAACCAGCACCACATGTTCTGATGAAATCAGCCGTGCTTCCCTTGGCTGTGAATTGCCGAAGTGGGAGCACCACATAAAATTCCACAGGGAAAGCTGAGGCTTAAGCGAAAAAGCAATCCATTGACATGATGAGTCTGATTAAGAGGACCACCAATGTGTATGGTGTCGAAATCGACATGTCAAAGACAGGGAACTTCAGCTGGCGAGACAGCTGCAACAGCTGCAACAGCTGCAACTCCATTCTCTCCATCCACAAAAACCTGTCCCGCCTATACGAGCTCTTGCAGGTCGTTGGCCGCTGACAAGTAAGAAGATCTGGAAGCTGGGGCCGAAGGGGCCAAAGATGCTGTGAAAATTGGGGCGCAAGCAGAAGCTTCACAGTGTGAAGAAGAGGAAGATCATGGATTCTAAGGCTCTTACATCCTGTCCACAGATGGGCGAAAAACGCGTGACAGAGCGGAGAAGGTAGTGACCTTGGAACGTGTTCCGTTTCTGTTGGACAGCTGCAAGTGGGTCACAAGCATCATAAGGCCACGGCAAAGAACAGTTGTCGCGCCTTGGCCCGCGTGATGCCCGCGTGATGCCCGCGTGATGCCCGAATGACTCGAAATCAAGCTTCACATGTCCGGAAAGGGCTTGGCGCAGGGTGATGGAAATTGCGCACCTCCTGGATCCTCCGGATAGTTGGATAGTATGTAGTTGAACTGTTCAACTGCACATGCCATGGCCATGCAGGGATTGCCAAGGGATTGCCCAGGGGTTGCATGAATGATCAACCGGCTCGACAATTTCAATGTGAGACCTTGTCTAAAAGATGCCTGGTGCCTGCGCAGAGTAAGCAAGTAGATCAAATCCAAGCAAGAAATCATCTCGCAAGCTTGCGCACACTCATGTTGGAAAAATGCCTGGGAGCAAGCTCCCGGCTGTGTTTGCGAAATAATTTCTCGAAGGTTTCGGGCCGGAATCATTTCCATTTGATTTAGAAGGATATTTTGAACATAGCTGAAGTTTGGGAGTCAGCAGCTAGACAGCCTGCAAGACCTTTTTGAGTTTCCGGCTCTTCCTGTATATCAGCTGTACCATCTCAATTTTCGGCATCGAGTGTTTAAGACATGTGTAAATTTATTGGTTCAAGTAGCATTTAGTGCAAGATCTTTCGCCATGAATGCCTTGAATTTCCAACTGCTTTGCAAGCCTGAGTTTTTGCCACTCCCCGCATAGTTGGATAGTGTATGTGGTCTAGCTATGTCTAGCTTCCGGCGCACCAGCTTTCGCAGATCTTTCACAACATTGCCATGTGGCCAGCTCCTTGGAGTCAGGCGTGGCCAGTGGCGCAGCTACTCCCCCTGATTCATTCACCGGCTGTCAGCAAGACGAGCTACAAGACTATTACTTCAGACTGAAGCGAAGATTTGGCCGGAGATCAATTCACAGCTTTGACTTGGGCGGAAAAGGGTTGCAAGAATCAGACATGTGATAGAAATTGTAGCGTTTTTTGCCCGAGTTCTACCATGACACAGCAGATTCAGAACCAAATCCGGCCCCTCAGTTTTCGCATGTTGTGCTCAGCGTCTCAAGGTTGAAGCGCTAGTGAAGATTAGACCGGCTCCATTCCAAGGTCTTTTCCCCCCAAGCACCAATGCTTCAACATGTCCCCAACACCCCGCCACCTGAGTCTTTCCGCATGTGAGCTTGCAACCGCCCCAAATTTAGATTAAGATCCAGCCAAAGTTATATAGATCAAAAAGGTAGAATCAGCCCCATGAGATTGAGAATTCAGCTCGAGACCCTGTTCACTAAAATTCTAGACTCTTGGAATTTCCGAGCAATGACCGATATTTGATTCAGATTCGAACCAGTGCCTGCTGTTTGGTCTTGAAGTCTGCATGCAGTCCCATAGAACAAGCGCAAGAGCCTGCCTGATGCCAAAAACCACCTCCATGCAATATCTTTCTGGCAAAATTGTGATGGTCAGTAGGGGGAATCCCCAACAAATGATGACCTTATTTCAGGTTGGTAAGTCATCATTCAGCCAGATCTTTCCCTGATCAAAGTCGCTTGGAACTCCCGATTTGAAGGGACCCTGCGGACCATCATAGCGGCCAATGAACATCCTCTCGTAGAAGTGTTTGCTTCAACTGTTTTGTTTGCAAATCATGGTGCCAAGATGTCATAAGATGTCCCAAACAATGTTGCAGCTGCCCTGATTTTTTGGGGAAGAAATGGTAAGAAAGTCTGATTTTACAACGTAGTACGCCACTCCCGAGAACAATGCCGGATCGATATACGATGCCATTTCTTCTGGCTGAATTTGAAGCATGGCCACCCTATTCCTGCACACAGGAGTGCATTGTGAGTTTTGTGCCTGCATAAAGTGCTTCGTTTTCAAGGCGACAGAGTCCTATCATGTCCATCTAAATCCCTGTGTTTGGTTTCGTAATGATTTTTCTTTCAACCTTTGCGCCACGATCACTGGTGGCTTCGCCTATGTTTGGACTCCATGGAACTCAGCCTTGGCCCATTGCCTCCGAACCTGGAACGTGATCAGCTAGTCACTGTAGTCAGAAGCGAGCGGTTGCAAGAGTCGTAGGATGTCGTAGGATGTCGTAGGTGCGTCCTGCATAGGCCGCCGCACGGCCACACGACATTGATGGTGTTCCGCGCGTGGCTGTGACAAAGCGGATGCAGAGGCCCCAGTTGCCGAGGGGGACGGCTTGATGCTTCAACTCCCAAGCTGCGAGTGCTGATTCCAGCACCCAGGGCTGTGGTGATTGCGCAATTCCAGGTACAGGCAGCCCATGAGCCTCGCAAAGCGCGTGGTTAGGCGCGTCCACGCCTTTTTCTCTGTCCTGGAGTAAGTTGGCAAGCGAGAGATCTTCCGCAAGCGACTGCGAACTTTTTCACGCTTTCCTGAGACTCAACAGTTTTCAACAGAACCCGAAGCTCGGGCCCATGTTGCATTTCCAGGGCCGGGCGTGCAAGTGATGCAAGTGCAAGTGCGTGAGCTGAAGTGATCCTGCCATGCCACCATGGATGCCACCATGGCACGAGATGCAGGTGCGAGATGCATATTTTTGTTGCTTGTTCGAGAGGCGCACATGTTGGGAATACCATGGAATATCATGGGATTTCTAAGCTTTCGTTGGGTCCAATCACTGAAGCATGGCCAGGTTCACACCTCCGCAGAGTTGTCCATGTTCAGTTTTGCGCCAGCATCAGCATCACAGATTTCCACACCTCAAGGTTTTAGAATTGTGGTCACTAGCATCCGCTTTGAACCCTACATTCGATTATTCACCTTGCCGCACACTGCATTCTTCATAGAAGCATTGAAAGAGGATGCGCCGATGGCATCCACTGCACATTTCGGGCTTCGAAATGGCAAACAATCTCCCAAGATCCCCGACCTTCGTGTGACCCGCTGATTGCTCCATCGACAATGCAAATTTTTCCAAGCTGTGCAAGCGCCGGGGCCACATGACTTGACCTTGACCATCACAGCGGTACCGCTAAGCCGCTAAGCGTGCCCGCCTGGGATCTTTGGCCGCTCGTCGACGCGGCGTTAAAAGAAATAACACCAGGAGAGGGTGTGGGAGATTTCTGTTGCCAAGGTTGCAGCTCCAGATGGTTATGGCATGTTATGGCATGTTATGGCACGTTATGGCATGTTATGGCTCTGAGGACCAAGGTCGGATGAAGAATGTGTATCTGAAACCCCCGCAGCTGCCTACCTTCGTTGGTCTCGTTGCTATTCTTCTGAAAGTTCAATGATATGGGTGTGGGCCAAAACCTCTATATACTAACATATTTTTTTGGGTGAACGGAAGGACACCAGGGTTTTGACACCCATATGTTTTCTGAAGACTTTGGCTCTCAGCAACTGCCGAACGGGCTCCTTAGCCTCGATGAAACTTTGCGGATGTGTAATGTTGACGAGTTGAGCCCCCAAACAAGGGTTATGCAGAAATGATTGGCTTGGTTGTGCTTTATGTTTTGGCCCTTCTTTGATGTAGTGTGCTTTTTGATGTTCCTGATCTGATCCATGTCGTCGGTTGATGCATTCTTGAGACACCCAAACTTGCAAGTTGGCGGAAAGATCGGAAAGACTTCGCCAGTGTCGTTTTCCGTTTTTTGTTTCACTTCTCCATGAAACGTCCGAACAATCCATCCATGCCAAACAGCCCGGACGAAAACCCTTTTTTTTCCTATGCCGAAGCGTATCCGACGCCAGCGCCCTGAGTGCGGGATCCCAGTCGAAAGCGGCAACGATCGCCGCCTGTTGAAAAAGGGATTTCCTGAACAGTTTTTTTTGGTTGGTGATTCTGGAACATTTTTCCTTCTTTGTTTGGTAGCTAACTGTCTTCATGGGTTATCGTGGCACTTTCCATCCCTCTGGGTTGCAAGGCTCCTGACTCCTTCGTGTGCTGTGGGTTGATTCCAGGCCCAACCACAAAAATCGCCCTGAAAACCTGAAATGGTCAGACGTTTGGGTTCTGGAAATATTGGAAATCATGATTTGTCGAAACCCCCCAACAACCCAACAACAGACCTTGCCAAACCGCACAGGTCCTTCAGCTTTTGGGATTTCCCAGCCTTGCTGCAGTTGCACGTTGGAACTCGTGGGATGGGACCCGAATTTTTTTTGAGGGGCCCATTTAAGCAACCAAATCTGAAGCCCCAAACTTTGGAAATTCTTGGGTTTGAGAAGGGCCCAAAATGCCACGGATCTTGCATTAGTTTATTGTTATTACATCTTGAGCAGAGCCAGGCCCAGCATGGTGTTGTTTTTGCTCAGGTTTTTGGATTCCCTGGATGTCAAGCGCAGCCATGCGCCAGTGGCTCGCAAGATCTCAACGACACCAGGTCTCACCGTGGGTCAATGGGCTACTAAACTTCTGGGTATCCGCTTGTTCGACTTGTTTTGGCTTTTGAGAGAAGTGGGTATGGATCAATACCTACTAATACCATTTTTAGGGGAATGAACATCCATTTACCAGCTATTTTGATGTTCACCAGGGGTACAAGGTTTTGACACACTGCCAAGTTGTCCCACAGACAATCCTCACGTATAAGTTTGGATCATCTTCATCAGGTCTCCAAGATATTCCAAGATGTTCAAATGGATAGGCCATTGCCCTTCCAGCCCCAACTTTCCGTTTTGGAAAGACCACAGATTCATTCCAACGGTTGAGGGCAACAGCGAAGCTGTTGGTCATGTACATCGCACCCTTGTTGCTCAAACCATGCCATACTAGAACGTGTCTTTGTTGCTGGCGTCTTTATCGCTCGCTATTGTGGGTGTCAAAATGATATTTATATATATATATTTTTTGCCTGATGAATGTAATTGGTATGTTTGTTTATCGCTCTCATATTCACCAAACACATACTTTTGCCATGTTGCATATTTTTAAGCCATGGTCATTTGTCCTGTAAAGTTCCATGCCTCCGTTTGATCATCCGTTTCGACTTGGCTCATGGGAACATAAATTTGGTTGTGCTCAAATCAATCCTATGATTGGGGGTATATTCCAAAAAGAAACTCCACATTCATAAACAGTTAAACACCATTGGGGATTGCGCTGTAAATTTTCATTGTCCCATAATTCACTATCATCATCCCACACAAACTATACAAATTCTATGAAATTCTAACTGCGATACCCTGAGGAACTACCTCCAAAGCATGTTGCCATGTTATCATGTTGCCAGCCATGAATTTCCCTCAGCCTTACCGAGGCCCTCCTTCGGACATTGGCGAGCAAGCTGGTGACGGCCGGCGGTGCGAACGCAGACTGTGACACCTGGGAAGCGCTAGGCGTCATTGCAGCTCGGGCAGCGCGAGTTTACATGCTACTAATGACTGATGGTTAATAATAATACCACAATAATTACTAATAATTCTGAATATAGTACTAATAACCTAATCTAATAATATGAATATAGTTCTAATAACCTAATCAGATTTTGATTGATAATGGTAGTTAATAATAATAATGGTATATAATATAGATGAATATAATGGTTAATAATGGTGAAACAAATGATAGTTGATGGTGATTAATGGTGTAATTTTTACAATTCCCAAGTCATCACAATTTTTACGCCCTGTAACCACCCCAAATGGTAGGTTTATGGCATGAACAGTGAAACCCACATTGAAACCCATGGAAATTCCATTAAAATCCCCAGAGTTCATGGTGAATCCTCATCAATGGCCATTTCAGATACCAGTCCACTGGAGCTCTATTTTTTCGGAGCCCTGAAATTGACCTTTTGGTAATGACTAACGGTTTGCGAACTTGAACATGGCCCATAGAAATAGTTGATTTACCTATTCAACATGGTGATTTCCCATAGTAATGTAAACGTTTACCAGAGGGTAGGCCTTCGGTACCTGTAATTTAGATACCTGAAATTGCGACCAAACAAAAGCAAGGTGGGGGGTGGGATCATGTTGACGGTCTATTGAAATAGAACATGGTAGAATTGGGATGGGGATGGTTTCGTGGGTTTGCGGCATTCTAAACATTGAACACAGGGGCCTTAATAGTCACGGTATGATTCTTACAACTGTAAAAGGGGTGTGCATCAGTCTGAAGTATGGGATATTCACAAACACACTTCGGGAGAGATCCCCAAAATGATGCTTGGCCCATACTCAACCACACTTTTGAGGTGATTTCATCAGAACGCTTGGGGTGGCTACCTTGGAAATCCATGGGGACTTGATGATGAAACACCGAGGATGGCGTTTTTTTTTTTCGAAACTGAGAAGCTCCGGAAATCCACGGCAGTATCATCGAACATGGAGGAAAGTCATGTCCTTTTTGGGCAAATTCATCTTTCCAGAATTGCTTAGGGTCCAATTCACACCAATTCACAGTCAGGTTTCTCCAATCCACTGAGCAATTTGGATTGTGCTACCTCGAAATTGCCAAGCCAGAGTTGCCCAGAAGTTCGGATACGTTTGGAGACATTGCTTCGAACATGTCATCAAACAGGTTTGGGATATAAGATGATATAAGTATTATCAAATATCCTTCGAAATGATAGGAATTTGGTAGTAACTTGGCAAATGTTCTGTGGCCTAAAACATCTTGGGGTTTATTGTGGCGTTGTCAGAAACATCTCCTGACCGTCACCGAATCGTGACCAGATTCGGCATTTTTCCACTCTCAGGATGAGACACTTCTGGACCTGGGCCTTCCGAGGAAAGCCTGCGAGCTCTTGACCAGGAGAGGGGTTTCGGCACCCGGACAAAACAGCGGTTTTCATCGGCTTATGTCCATTATGTACTTGGAGATGATCTTGATCTTTGATGATCTTTGATGATCTTTGATGATCTTTGATGATCTTTGATGACCTTTGTCCCCAGTTTTCAATCCAAAGATTCGTTTGATTTTCGGATTCCTTTCCCAAGACAGAGTGCTTCCTTCATCGCTTGATTTTTCCCATGGGCCCGAGGGATCCAGGATCGATCACAGCTCCATCTCTGAAAGTTTCTTCACCTTTTTCTGTTTGCTGATTGCCACTGATGGAACATTATGGAACATTCATTTTTTTCAATCTTTTCCATGGGAATCCAGGAATCCGAGCAAGACTTTCATATTCTGGGATCTACAAACCTATGGACCTATAGATGATATCTTTGAAGATTCAACATTTCCCATATAAAAAATTGTATGTTCCTATTTTCCACCACCAAAAAACATCCAATTTCAACATGTCCCCTTTCATCCATGAGTTTTTTTGGAGATTTTCCCACATCGTCTCATCAACATCCCAATGTTCCCAGGATTTTCCAAAGATTTCGCCATTGAAACCAGGACCAAACCCTTCAGCACTAGGCTGAGTAGCGCAATGACCTCCAGTGACCAATCCACCTGAGCCTTGGTCGATTTTTTTGGATGATCTTTGGTGATGTTTGGATGATTTTGGGTATTTTTGTCCGATTTTCAGATGTTTTTTTTTAGTTTCAGAAGTGAATGATGAGTGATAAAAATGATGATCCAAGAATCATTGAATTCATCGAATTGCTTATTAAATATGGATATATATATAATTATATATATATATTATATATATAATGATATATATATATATATTATCCACATATACATCATATATGTATATATGTATATGTATATATGTATATATATATGCTGTATAAAATTCTGCATGATTTCCCACGAATCCGGACTGCTCTGAGATCTCCGGAGAACGAAATCAGCACTGAGGTAAGATGGTTCTTGACCTTTGGGACGGCCACAAGGCTCGATTTGTCACGGGGGATGAGCAGCTGATGTTTGTTTAACCGCGGTAAAGGTCCCGGAATCTTCGCTGCTTCACTTTTTTTTGTGGGTGTTTCATATGATCTGAAAAAAAAGGGCTCTGTAATCCGAAATGTTGATATCTGTGAATCAGGGGGCCACTGAGACATCATTGGGAGTCACCACGAGACCATGTACTGTGGTACCGTCAGAACTGGGGCCTTGTATACGCGCATCGGCGGTTGTTTTTTTTTGTGGATGTATCCAGCGCATCGGCGGTTGTCATTTAACATAGCCATGGAACATGGCCCATTTATAGATGAATTTCCCAGCTAGAAACTTCCATTTATTTACGCGATTTTCCATGGCTATGTTAGTCATAACCAAATGGCAAATGCCAAATGGAAAGAATCCTCATTTTGGTGGTTTCACGGCCATCCCGTATTGGTGAACCCCCAAAAGTCATGCGCCAATTTGGTCATTCTCAGAGGGGGTTTCCATTTGGGCCTTGTTGGTCCTATTCCTGTGTCCCTATGAGGCTTGGGTTTGGCGGTGAAATCAAACTGTTTGCTGCAAACCAATCCTTTTGGTGGGTGGATTTCTGAATTTCCAAGTCTTGAAATCCCATAAATGCTGCTCGTACCCCATTTGTCCATCATTTTCATCCTGCGAATTTCACACAACCAACAACTCAATGGATTGGTTTAAGGGAAAATTTACAGGAAAACCCCATATTTAATGGGAAAATCGATGGTTTCCTGTAGATTTTCCCTTAAACCAATCCATTGAACAACAATTTCCAACAAAAATCATCCCCGTCCCCACTAGCAGTCGCTTCCAACATCATCATCGCCGCAGGTGGAGTCGGTGATTATGCGACACGAAGATCGAACCACCATTTGCGTCTCTTCCCAGGCGGGGAAAAATAACAGCCTTGGTGTCTGAGAATCGAAGCCGCGAAGCCTGGCGCTTGTTTTATGGGACTGTCACACATGACATATAGATACATATAGAAAAACCATATGAAAAGCCCCTGAAAAGCCCGTTAATTGACGTTGAGTGTATACTTTCTTTATATGATTTTATATGTCAAAAAAACGACGTTTCTGGCGAAGAAGCTGCGACTCATCGAAAGCTGTAGCGACTGGTCGTCGCTACTCCCCTAAGTTGATCAACGCCCCAGAATATTTTTGATCCATGCGCATGTACACATCGTATCTATGTGTGTGTACAGTATTGCATGCAATATCATACAATTATGTCGGTATGTAATCATTATCATAAAATGTAATATGATATATGATATTATATGGTTTAATTGTCTTCCATGATTTTTGGGTGAACATGTTTTCCAGATGTTTTCCTGGGTGATTCGGACAACTTTGACAGGTGGGCTGCCAAATGGGCTGCACCTTCTGCGCCACTGGCACCCTGCCGATCGTGGGAGCGTCTCGGAAGCAGATCGAGGGGTGTTTTTTCATGCTGATTTGATGGCGCTTGAATGGAATTTTATGGAAGTGTTTTATCGAACTCGATGGTATTCACCCCCCAGAAATCAGGGCCTAGCAGGGAATTCCATGTATTTGGGACTAGTTGTGGGGGTGTTTAATAGTATAGGGGTATGTGTGGGATTAGATGTGGAAAGATGGGGGTGGGAGTGCAATCATCCAAATATGATCATGCAGGGATTGTAAAAAAACTATGATGACTCCTCTATTGATGAATCAATCAATGGGGGTAATACTACGGTTTGGGGAGTATTAAAACTCTGACTGGGAAACCTATCTAGGAACCAAACATTGTAATGGGATTGGGACGCGCTTTTTTTTTTCTTGGCAGAAATTGCTATTTTACCATATTTTACCAATGACGCAGTTTACCATTACCTGAATGTTGGATTCTCACAACGATAGTAGGCGTTACATCAGTTAATTCTCTGGGGAATACTAACGCGAATATGATGAAAGGCCGACGAGAACGATGATGAGATCAGAGTCTAATCATCCAATTCATCTATAGCGATTACCCTCTGGTAAACGTTTACATAACTATGGAAAGATCCACTATTTTTAATGGGTAAACCAACTATTTCAATGGCCATTTTCAATAGCTTTTTAGCTATGTTTTACCAGGCCGGGTATCTACTGAATCTACTCATTAAAGCCATTGATCGGGAAGCTGTGAAGCCATCATGGTTGGTGGTTTCACTTACTGTAAACTGTTTCAATCAAGGCTGGGCTGGGGATGACCCTAACCAAACTGGGGGCTACTGATTAGTTTCAGCTTGACACTCAAGACTTCCATCCCAGTGATGCAGTGAAGCGCTACAGCGCAATTTCTTGCAGTGAAAAACCGGAGTCCCAAGATGACAGATGCCCGGTTGATAATGACTGGAGATTTTCACCAATAATTAGGATTCGCGACAAGCACCGTGGATATCAGCCAAGCATGATGGCCGAGAAAATAGCAGGAAACAGTGGTGATTAAGTGGGGAACATACTCCATATACAGATTCATACAGATTCAAAGATACCCCCAAACCTGTCTTTTGATACTCCCATGCAACATGCGTTCACAATGGGTTTGGCACCGGAAAGCCAGCTGAAATGCGCCTCCAAACCAGTACTTTCACGATCCAGCTAAAACTCGCGTTGACGCGTTGGGGTTCTCATCAACATTTGAGGACGAAAACAAGTCGCAGCATGCGTGCAAGTTGTTTTTCTCTGGTGCGACTTGCGTTCAATTTTCTGGTGATTTCTGGTCCATATTTCTCCAGAAATCCTCGGAGGTCCATTGGGAGTTTAGTTTTTTTTTTGTGGGTTTTTTCGGCCCAGGATTTAGATGCTGGCGAGATCGTGGAACAGCACCTTGTCGGCTAGGACCGGACCTGACCCATGGGATGATCCAGATGGCAGCACCGGCTACGAAAAAAGGTCGGTCGTCACCGGTGTTTACCGATGGGTAAAAACCGAGCGAGTTAATTATAGAACTTTACTCACTAAGATATATATAATTATAGCTTGTTTATCTTGTTTACTACCGTTTTTTTTTTATTTATTGATATTCAATAATCATTCTGTTGTGACTGTTGTGACTAGTGGATAACCCCACCTTGAGAATAATTCAAAAAAGAATCGGGGAAGTATCAAGAGGACGTTTCCATACTATTCCTATGATACCTGTCATGATTTGCGTTGAACATGAGAATCATAGTCCACCACCTCATGGCTTCCACGTGAGTTCCTCACGCATCGGATCATCGCCCGGCCGACCAACTGGTCACGTCACGTTTCCCATTAAACATGGTAATTTTCCACAGTTATGTTTTCACGTTTACCAGAGGGTATATCATGTATATCTGCTAAAATGTCGCGATGAATCACATATACAATGTGGTGGACCCAAGAAACAAATCCATAATATCACCATAATATCACCATCCCCAAAGGTGCCATAATATCACCATCCCCAAAGGGTAGTTGTTTATGGCATTGGGTTCCCCACATGGCACAGATATTTAATGCCATTCTTGATTGTTCAATGTAATGTGGGGATGGAACACTATTTAAATGCCATTCTATTGTCAGAGGATGGCATTTGATTGTTTAGAATGGTTCCCACTAATGCACATATAGTGTTCCATCGTCTGACTGCTTGTTCGTCCCGCCCAGGTGTCCGCTTGTTTCGGGTGTCAAAAAAACGCCTCGGTTGACATTTTGGGACAGATCCCAGCTGAAAACATGTCGAAAGAAAGCCAGTGGTCCCATCCATCCATCCTCCATCCTCGGGTGTAAATGGCTATAACATGCTATAACCATGGACCATGGACATACCCTCTATATATCTTGGTATGTAACTTCCATAATGTCCATATGGGTGTTTCCTAATATGGAGGTACCCCTGTTCATCGTTCATTTTCATCCATTTTACTAGGATTTTCCATTGTAAACCATCTATTTTGGGATACCCCCCATTTTAGAACCCCCCCATATCCCAAGTTTTTGTTTCCGTGGAACTGCCAAGGCTGTTGCTGGCGCAGCGCTTGGAATTTCAGAAGGGCTTGGCGCCTGTGCGGAACTGCGTCTTTATGGGTGCCCGGGCCGCTGAGTGACTGGGGGACGTCCGAAAAATTGTTTGAGAAAGGCCCTACGGTATTTTAAGTTTCGCCATGAGACACTCATCTGCTTGGTGGTTTCAAACATGACTTTTATTTTCCATAATACATGGGATAATCCTTCCCATTGACTAATAATTAATATTTTTCAAGATGGTTAAAACCACCAAGCAGTCATGATAAACTGCATTTTGGATGTGATGCGGAGATGCTGTTTCAAGATCATAGGCGGGATTTTTTCCAGTGTTCTTTTCGCAGATGGGTTTCCTCGAGCCGCATGGTTTGTTTCACATGCCATGTGACCAATGAGGCGGTGCCACTGGGATGAACCAGGTTGGATATATGATAACAGGTTGCATGTGGCTAGCAGTCTGAAAATAGGAATAAATAGGATATCTCAGATCTGTCCTAGTGTTTAGAAATCCATTGAGGTTCATCATCATTTGGATTTCGATACCCTCTGGTAATTTAACATAGCTATTGAAAATCACCATTTATAGTGGATTTTCCCATTGAAAATGGTGATTTTCAATAGCTATGTTGAATTACCAGAGGGTAGTGTTTATCATCCTGTGATGGCCTTGTTTAACGTTGGGGACAGCCGAAAGTTTCATCGGACAGCCGGCGCCACGAGTTTTCGTTTTCTTGTCGATCAAGGTATGGGTGAGCCCCTGAACAACTACGCAGCTTGGTTGGATTTTTTCGATGGATTTTTTTGGGAGATTCACCAAGCAAAGTGATGATATCATGGGGGATATTTCTAGGGGGATATCATGGGATATTTCCAAAAAGAATGGGATATGAATCAATGATCCTGTTTTGTGATGATTCATGGGATTAAAGAGGATTGAAATGGATGATCATTGGGATCCCATATGAGACCAAGCCCATTCGGCCGAAGATGGCCGAAGATGTGTACATCCCCTATGAAACACCATGGTTTCAGGGTATTTCAAGCAAAGCAACTGGTGATTGGTAGCCATTGTGATGGAGAAAGCTGGAAGAATAGTGGATCTCCCACTTGAAATCAGATTATTGCGCAGGAGTATTTGGTATTTGAAGGTAGACATGAGCCATGAACAAGAAACTTGAAGAGACAGATCTGATAGAATCATATAGAATCAACCATGGATACTGAACCGAAGTGAACCTTAAACTGAAGCGAACTGAAGCAGTACTTCAACTGTCCTCTGCCAGTTGAGGTGCCAACTTTCTGGCTTTCATCATCGAATTCCAAAATTCATTGAAATTCATCTGTTCATCGTTTTTTTGTTTTTTTGATCGCATCCCCATTTTTTGATGATCCTCATCTTTATCCAGATTTTAGCCAAGTTGATCTTCAACTTATCCAATCACCAGCCACCAGGGCCACCAGCCGCCGGACGATGTCCTTAGGACGCGGTGGTCTCGGCCGTGCGGAGCATGACGGGTTTGGGGCAGCTGGGGGCCTACGCCTTGCCGCAGAGTCGCGTGACCATCTCTACGGTGGGTGCCATGGTCATCCGTTGGTTGAGGTGAGGAAAACCTGAGGAAAACAGCCATTTTTTGGGGGGAACCTGAGATTTTAATGGGAAAATCATAGGAAAACCATGGGAAAACCAGAGGAAAATGGAGGATCAACCTCTCGTAAACACACATATAGCTATGGAAATCATCATCTTTAAGTTCGGTAAATCAACGATTTCTATGGGCCATTTTCAAGTTCGCGAACTGTTAGTCATTGCCAGAGGCTAATTGTGATCTTGTCTCAATTTTTTCAATGTTTGTTACCCAAAGTATCATGTGTTTATTACTTTTTTGTTGAGCTTCTTCTTCCATTTTTTCGATTGTCAGGGTCACACGGTTTTCAATGAATTTGTTGGGGACTTCAAATCGGCCCGACGATTTCCATCGGGATTTCATAAACGGATAGAATTGTCCAGGGATCTTTTGTGAATGTGATAGTGGTCTGAACATGATTGTGATACCGTGATAACCCCCATTTTTATTTATTTTTATTTTTTTGGGGGAGGGAAGTGATGATTAACCATCTAATTAATTTTGCACCCTATTTTCAGACAAAACCAAATGGTGGAGTTCAGCAACAGACATGGCACATAGAACATCTGGCTGGTGGCTTTCAATGATTTTTTGTTTGAAAAAGCCTGCTGTAATCCCAACTGACAAGCAGAATTTTCATGGGTGGCTCAAGACCAGCTAGACATGATAAAACACTTTAGAACTAGGTATAAAAACTTGAGATTGATTTGATTGAATCAACAGAAAAGTGGACACAAACCATGATAACTAGGCGGAGAAGAGATATGAGCACTACAATGTGGAGGGGGAGCCTTGAGCATGACCAATGTGGGTAACGACACAGCCCAGGTGTAGTGCCCAGGATGAAACAGCTTGTGACTTGACGCAGTAGGGATGGGACCTGGGCTGGGATGGGACCTTTTAACGGTGCCATGATACAACTGAACATGACATGGACATGCCAAATGTCAAAGAGGAAACTTAGGAAACCTTGCCACATTTCAGTCGTTTTCAGTTGGAGGCCACTCTCGCTACAGTGCTCTGAGATGCATCAAAAGAAGATGACCCGAAATAGGATTGCAAAATGCAAGAAACGACGAAACATATGGGCCACTGGTATACTTCATTCATATCAATCTTTGGGGCAAAAAATTGGTGAAGTGGCTTTCTCTCGAAGCCTTGCCTGCTTGATAGCTCTTGTTTTCTTTGAGTGTGTTCAAGTTCTTGTTGTTGATATCTCAGTTCTTGTTGGTTGTGCTTCAGATTGGTGAGATTCCAAGTTCTTTTGGCAGCATCTGCGTACTTCTCTTGGCCAGATATGATGGGTCAAACTGTCAGGTTCAGGGGACTGCACATATTCTTTTTTAAGCAATCTGTAAACCATCCAGTCTTTGGAGAATGTGGTAAACTGGTAAACCCAATCCGGGATGGTTTATTTGGTCGCCGGAGTATTAGCCCCAATAAAACCATATATGTTCTATGTTGGGCTTTGTAGGGCGCATGTTGGGAGTATGTTGGGCCCATGTTGGCGCTGCGTTCGGCCTTGTTGGGCACATGTTCAGCCATGATGGGCCGATATTTTGGGTTCATGTTGGGCCTATGTCGGTCCTATGTTGAGGCATGTTGGGCCATTTTGGGCCCATGTTGGGCCCATGTTGGGCCCATGTTGGCCTATGTTGGCCCATGTTGGGCCATGTTGGGCCCATGTTGGGCCTATGTTGGCCCATGTTGCCTATGTTGGGCCCATTTTGGGCCTATGTTGGCCCATGTTGGGCCTATTTTGGGCCATGTTGAGACCAAGTTTGGCAACTTAGCCGATTTTAGGCCTCTTGAAAAAACGTGGAACACACAGGATTCTAGAGCAAACATGTCCCCCCAAGGCAAGACTTAATAGCTATTGCCTATTGCAATTGCTTACGGATCATGCGTGCCTAGAAAAAAACGCTTCGGCACCATCGGTGCGGACGGATTTACTGCCTTTACCACATTCTCCAGTTTTGAGATCCATATGTCTGGGACCCCAAAATCGGGCCAAACTTGCAGGTCTTCACAAGGACAGCCCCAAATATCTCCAAAGCTGATTGCTAATCCACAGGACCCCCAAACTTAGCAGACTTAGAGTTAGTACAGGACTGGCTTTAGTGGGGCTTACGATGGTGTTTCCCCATTGCGCTGCAGTCATGATAATTCATGATATATCTATAGTTTGGGGTAACCACCAGTTACCCTTACCCTTACCGTCAGGCCATCAGTTCGCCATGGCTGGGAAATGAGTGGACATCCCCAAACGATTTCTTGGAGGTTTGTTGGTTAAATCCTCTGGTTATGACTAACATATTATATAGCCATGGTTTGTTGATGGCCCTAGTCGAAATAGATGGTGTTTACCTATTAAAAATGGGTGGATTTTCCATGGCTATGTTAGTCATAACCAGATGGTATTTGGTTCTGAAATCCCCTGAGTATCCCATCGAAATCTGAAGAAATCGAGGTGCGCGACTTGCCCGGGCTCAGCCTCGCCCTCTCGCTACACGCTCCAACGCAGGAGAGTGGAGTTGGTTCAACTTACCCAAGGGGTCATAAATCATGGGATTTAATTAACCCTCTGGTTATTTAACATAGCCATGGAAAATGGCCCATTTATAGATGGTTTACCTGGGTTTACCTATTAAAAATGGTGATTTTCCATGGCTATGTTAAATAACCAGATGGTAAATGATGTGAAAATCATGATGATAGTAGGATAATAACAATGATAATGGGGATGTAACAATCATTTATCTGGAAAATTGTGACTACAACTGGCATGTTACATGGGATTTAGCCAACAACAATGGTGATTTTTGATGGGATTCAATGAGGAATAAAAACCTGAAGGGTAATTTAACATAGCTATTGAAACATACCCGTAGCTAATGGTGGTAAAGCAATGTACCACCCATAAAAATTATAAAACTGGGGATGATGGATTCTCTTGCTTTATTAGCATTATTGAAAATCACCATTGTTAATGGGCAAATCATCTATAATTTGGCGATGTTCATCCATTTTCCATAGCTATGTTAAATTACCAGAGGGTAATACATGATATCCAAAAGGGGGGATATTGCGGATTTTTCCTTTATATCATTTCCTGGTTGGTGGTTTGGAACATTTGGATTATTTTTCCATATATTGGGAACAATAACCCCAACTGACTAATATTTCTTAGAGGGGTTGAAACCACCAGCCAGTTTCAATTCTTCTGGTATTTGGAGTGTTGGGAGTAACGTGAAGGCCTGAAGGCGAACTGGATTTCACCTGAAACGTGAGGATATCAATATCCAAAACTAACAGAGGTTCATCAAGAATCACATTCCGGAAGCCAGGGATGGTACCTGTATAGTTTGGAAGGTTTCGGGTAAACACATGCAATGGTGACCATGGTGCTTGAAAATCGTGATAAACCTCAGAGCTGATCAGTGAAAGTTCTTAAGTTATCATCTCCGAAAAAAGCATCCGTGGAAGTTATGACCCCTTGGCAAACATGACGAGGGGAGCATACTGGGAATGTGACAAATTGGCATCCGTTGAACCCGTTGCCATGGATTTTTTCAGCACTTTTTTTTGATCTTGGCTAAAATTGAGATTTTTCATACCAAGTGATTGGAGGATTTTTTCCAGGGGATCCAAGATGATCCCACCCCGGCGATAAAACGAGGAGCTGAGAGAAAAGATTGTGCCATCGGCGAAGCACGTCTCCATGGAGGACTTGCTCTCCGCTATGGCGCCTTGCAGTCCGGTGGAGTTTGGTGAAGAAACTGCCACGATGCCGATGGGAATTTCCGCATCAAAAAAGGTTGATGTTGGGTTTAGCACCTCTAGTAACTCATTCTGACTTCATGGTGATTTCATGTTGTTTTTTATTATTTATATTTGTATATATTTATTTATGTCAAAGCAAACTCACTGATATATTTCCATTTAGACTGGAGGCTTAAGTCAGAAACTTCATTTTTTTAACCGGCCAACAACAAATTGCAGGATCCAGTGTTCATTCACCAGCACAACGAAAGAGGAACCACTTTAGCCATTTTTTTTGAATGGCCGGAACTCCTACTACTTGCATCATCATAGATTAGGGGGTGACGCTTAGCCAGTCTGCGAAACAGAGTGTTTTGCTGTTGTTTCTCGGGCACCGTCTCTTAGAAAAGGCAGGGAACTTTCGGCACTTTTCGTTGGTTTTGGGTCAGTGGGTGCGCACCATGCATGCGACGGTCTGGGACGACTGCCGAGGATCTACATTTGGAGCAGACACTCGGTCGAAGATGATCGTCACAAGGGGTTTGAACATTTTCAACTTGCACACTAATGGAACCAAAACATACCAAAACCATATATATGTATATATATATATGGACTCGTGGACATCGTATTTGTTTTTCCTCCCTCAACTTTGAAAGGAACGCGCCTTGCTGAGAAATAGATCAACAAGTCTTTTTGGTGGTGTTTAACAATGCGATGTTCGAATAAACACACACATATATATATATATAAGTATTATAGACAACTTTTCTTGAGAAAGGAACAACCATTTTGAACTACATGTTTCTTCCCTTTACAATCATCACATTGGATCAATTTGAATTTGACACCAGCTGCGGGTAAATCGGCACTTTTTTACGCCAGACTGTTTTTGCGAGACTCTTGTCTCAAATATTTGCCATCAACAAAGACACAATGGTTAAAAAAAACGATGACATCATTTTCCACTTATATTTTTTTACAGCTAGATGTGTCTAGGTCACAAAAGAAATTGATATGAAAGTAAAACTCAGACCCGAAAGGTTTTCAAACAAATAGGTATCTCATGGTATCTCGATATCTCCAGTTGCTGGAAAAAAATGTTCCAAATTTCAGAGGGACGATGTACTGAAGATCGGTTTGTTCCAGCGAAGTTCGGGTGCAGATCCTTACAATAAACCCATGGCCCATGTTTTTGAGTTCAGAAACATATGCTAAATTGACATGGACTTTGATTTATCCACCTTCTTTTTGAATTTCATCCATCTGGGTGAATGGTAACAACCTCACGGAGAGCACCGTCACGTTTTTATGACGGGTTTTGTTTGGGTATCCCAAGATTGTCGAAGAAATTGCCTGAATTCAGGTAGTAATATATGTAATATGTAGTAACACAGATAGAAAAGTAAATTCCCGTTTTAAAAAAGTGATTGGTCACTGATCTATTTTTTAAAAGGGGCTTACAAATTGCCAGTGGTTTCGAAATTTTCCATTTCTCCAGATTCCCAAACTCCTCAAACTTCTGCGACCCGAAGGAAGACAGCACGTGCCATGATTGACACTGGGTTGCAGCAACGGTTGCAGCTGTGCGGAAATTCGTTGCTGGGGGGTTGACCAGCTAAAATAATATCTTTGGGACCAACACTCTAGGATATCGAGGATAGTAATTTTTGAGACCAGTGATTCAACATTGAAATTTGGTGGTAAGCTCATGTATTTTTTTTTTTTCGGGGTGGTCAGGTCTCCATACTAAATCATGGATTGAACGCATTGGCCGTTTGTTTTTTTTGTCAATGGCTCGGTGGTTTGGATCAGAAATAATCCCATCCCCCATTCACAATCAACTCTCCCGTTCCATGGTCCATGGTCCCAAAGATGTGAATTCATCCCCTACATCGGACTCATCGATACAGTTTAGTATACCCTTCAGCATTCAGGATGCTTTACGTTGGTTTTCTTTGTGGCAACAACCACTTGCTATGGCTTACGAAAACGCACAAGCTTCACTTTCACTTCACCAGAAAAGTATTAAACAAAACCCAGAAAAGTTGGATCGATCATTGCCAAGCCCTGGGGTGGGTCTCCAATGAGGGCGGCTATGATTCAAGACCCAGAAAGACGCCTTGTTTAAGCCAGACATTTGTTAACACGTCTGACTCGTCGACGTACTGAGACGTTTTTGATCTCTCCTGCGATTTAGGCATTCCGCATTCCACCTCATCCTCTTGCCATCTCTTGCCATTTCATTTCTCCATTCTTCCGTTGTTTGTTGTTTGTTGTCGTATTTCGTATCACACACGTCCGCAGCGCCTCCCAGGAATACGTCCTCCTCTCCGAGGAGAACGACAGCGATCTGTGCGCGACGCAGCTGGGGAAATTGCTGGCGCCCAGAGCCCGGAAGGCAACGGGGAGAAGACCTCAGGAACCTCAAAGTGGCCGATAAATTCATGGATGATTAAGATTGATTAAGATTGATCAAGATTGATTAAGCATGACATTTTTTTTTTGCTCGCCAATTTTCAAGCAAAAGTCATTTGCTGAAAATCGTGGGTTTCAGTCACACTTGGGAAGTGCTGCGCTGCCCAGATCCCATTGTGCGTTACATCTGTGCGTTCAGTCCGGCTGTTTTTGGTGAAGATTTACCATTGATTTACCATTGATTTCCAACAATTTGTTGTACAAAATCCTATGTTTGTGTTGTTTCCTGATTCAATCCCCAATTTGCATTCAGAATCCTTGTTCATCTATAAAAATATTCTCAGTGAATTCCAGTGAATTCCTCATTCTTCTTGATTTATTCATGCCATTCTTTAATGAATTCCCAATGAATTCCGCCCAGATCATGGTGAACTTGATCCCTTACAATCCAACTGCCTCCGGGGGATTCCAAGCCCCGAAGCACCAGCGCGTGGAGCGTCCCTTCATTGCGCGAATTTTAAGGGTGGATTCTTGTGGTGATTTTGAACTGGGAAAGTGGCAATTTTCACATTGATATGATGATCATTGATGATCTGATTTTTTTGAGTCTCTCATGTAAACCACTCCCCTTTCAGACAATGGGCAGCAAGCTTTCGTAGAATATCATTTCTTTTAGGACCTTTTGTCAAAGTTTGTTGTGGAAAAATAGACATTGAGACGCGAAAATGACGATTTCAGCTACAACCATGGAGGTATTTTCACTAAGGATTGGGATAGACATCCGAACAAGTGTTTAGCAGCAAACTCATTGAGACAACAACAAGCGTGGATATTCAACTAGCAAGAATGGAGATTTAAATGAGATTTCAGCAACCGCAAGGCTCAATTCCCCAGTATCCCCAAATTAGGGGAAGCCAAATCATGGCATGCGATGGCTGGTGTCTGGTGTCTGGGTTGGTCATTCTGCAGTGGATTTGGCCACAAGTCAGGTAATCTTCTTGGTGGTAAGGTCAGGTTTCAATTTTTAATTTTGAATTAGCCACCATTTTTGGAGATTTTAGCTGATCTCATGCCGTTCTTGTTCATTCCTCATTTCCGGTAGTGCACACACCTAGTCCACTGTTGTTGGTGAAAACCACCTGTGTGTGTTGGTTTGTTCTTTTTTGTGCTGGTCAAATCAGGATTTTTCTTGGTCAAGTCCCACTTTGAGAATGTTACAGTAATTCCCCCACATTGGTAGGTTAAAACATGTTAAACCCATGATTTCCGCTACCAGTCTTTCTGCCCGCCTTCCCATTTCTGTCGATGAAATCCACATTTTTCGATCGTTGAATCCATGTTTGTATTGTTCCGTCCATGTCAATGTGGAAGCTCCATTTTGGTTGGTCATTCTTCCGAATGTTTCTTGCTTCAACATCTCATTTGTTGCTGATTGATAGTTACTGATAGTTTATGCCGGCCAACTTTTCTATGTTTTTCTTGCTTAAATCATGTTCAATCCTTCTTTTTGATGCTTAAAATATGTTAAAATGCTTAAGAATCACATAGAATCACCATTTCTGCTGGTGAAATGCCCTAACTTTCCTCAGGTTTCCAACAGATTCTGGCCCACTTCGGCATCATGACACGCGTGCGACGAGAGATGGGACAGGACATCGCAGGCGCCTGCGGCCAGCAGCTCGACGTTTTTTTTTGAGAGACACAGCTGGTGATTCACTATTATCAACCATTAAATCATCATTAAATCATCATTAAAACCATCGTAAAAATCATCATTAAATCATCATTAATCATCATTAATCATCATTAATCATCACTAATCACTATTTTCAGCTGATTATTCTAAATCACTGGATGTTTTTATCGGATTTTGAGCCGAAACGCAGCAGCTAGTTTATGAGGTTTTGGACCTGCACGAGAAATCCGAATATGATGTTGTTGGTTGTTGGTTGGATCTCCTGTGGATAGCCCGTTATATCCCGTGAAACAGCCATGATTGTTCGCCACGACCACCTGCTAAGGTTAGCCTTGAAGGCTGGGTCACATCCGGGGTTTTGTGGAGCTGAGATGTCACAAATACCTTGGTTCATTGGTTAATTTGTTGAGACATATACTACCTGGTACCTGGATCTACATGGCTTATTGGAAATGATTATGACATGAACCAAGCCACAGGAAAACTGTCAACTAAGTAGTATAACCTGTCAGTCATATTGGTTTACAAAGCATATAGTCACTATATTTATATCATTTTATAGTCTTTTTATAGTCTCCCATAGACCCAACAGTTCACTTGGAATTGCACCAACATCGCCTTTGGGTACCACCTCCCACATTGGTGGGGCAAGCCACTCGAACATCGAAACCGCCCGCCCTGCTTGGCGTGTTTCAAGCGTGCTGCGTTGCCGATGTAATTTCTGTTGGGAAAAACAAAAGCATTTATTTGGCACACTGTGAAACATCCTTTACGTACCGATGTATTGTTCATCAGGTGATCAGACCTCTTTTTTCATCAACAAGACATTGGGAAAGGGACATCTATATGATGCTGACATCCATTGTTTGAGTGCTTCATGTTTTTTTTGAACTGGTTTATTCATGGTCTCCATTCGAGGAACATTTTTTCGGGATGAAACTACCAACCATAGCATGAGTATAAGACCTCAAACCACCTGAAAAAAAGCAGAGTACTAGCCAGTCATGGCAAGATAGAAAAACAGTGAATATATATAATTACAATTCTATTATATACGTATATATATATATATACATATACATATCTTCATGTTTCAGCCATGGCAATCATGGCAAAATTCGGGACCCGGATGTTTTTCTGGTTGATGTTGATGAATTCTTCCAGGAGTCCGAAACTGCCGAAGACCTGGAAGATTTTGTGCAGTGGCGTCGGCGGCAGCCAAAGAACAGCAAGCAGATGGTCAGCGCCGAATGTGAGGCGCTCGTGGCCGCTGCCTTGGAGGCGAGGAACCGGGGCCCGGAACGGGGGGGCCCGGCCTAGGGGAAGAACGGCGGGCTCATCCGATAAGTAGATCCAAGCCATGGCGATTGAAAAAATGGTGAATGGTCCAAAATCTGGGGCAGGTCAACATATTAATATATCATGATATATCATCTAAGGGCCATATTAATATATCATATTAATCAACAATAAAATCCGATTGAGTCATCATTTTCCCCATTGAAACCATGGAGATGAAGTCCGGTGAATTCTCCAGTGTAATAGCGCCGTCTGATGGATTTTCTGCGGCTAAATCCCATTGGAGAAGCAACGGTCAAAGGGGCTGGGAAGTGCTTTATCTAACGATGGGATACGATCATTTAGGACAGTTTCCTCCCAATGAAATGGATGGAATGTATCAGTGATACGTTATGTATAAATATCTCTATGTGTGTATGTATATTGTATATGTACAACTATATAATTATAGGCTATAGATGGTTAGAGCGTCCTTCAACGCTCTCCTGGATCTACATCCAAGCCAAAACTCTATACCTGGAGAAAGGTCTGTGGGGTTTGGAGAAGTCGGAAATCACATGTTTTTTTGAGGGGTCCAGAATTTTAAGAGTCGTCGGCTTTGTTAGAACAATACAGAGCTCTACAGGGGCTCGGGTATTGGCCAGCGGCTCAGGGTTTCTGCCATTTCTTGGCATTGGGTAATATACATTTTGGGAGACTCATCATTCGAAGTCTCTCAATTCAGGACTCTGAACAATTTCTGACAAGGGAAAGGGGGGTACAGTGGTACAGTATTTCATTGAACGATCTGGAAATTCACCACGCTGTGCTACGAACCAGGGACTGCTGCTTGGATCATATCCTCTCCCGTATTCATTCGCATCCCCAAGGTTGTCAGGAATCAATGATCACTCGTGGCTGGGGGTGTCTCAAACTTGGGGAAGCCCATATGCAAATTCCATACCAGCCTCTATCGCCATTTTCCCATCAAATCACCTGCAGGGAATTGCATGGAATTATATCTACTTTACATCATCCATTTAAGGCTCGACACAGCCATCTAAAAAAAGCGCTTGGTTGAAGTGTTGAAGTTTCTTTTAATATCCAATGAGATACCCTCTGGTAATTTAACATAGCTATAGAAAATCACCATTTTCAATGGGAAAATCCACTATAAATGGTCATTTTCAATAGCTATGTTAGTTTACCAGAGGGTACAACAAATTACAACAATCTTCAACGGGTTGGTTTCTGTTGGTCGACTTGAATAGCTCCCGAATTTGTTCAACGTCGTCGCCAGGTCGATGCAGCTTCTCCACTCACGCAGGAAAAGAGGCGCGCACTCGGGGGGAGATTCGGCGATTTGTTTCAGTCATCATAAAACCATATAAAACCTACCAAGACCTACCATGAAACATGGGGGATTGAGATGGATTTAGAAGATTTAGATGGATTTAGCCGGAAAATATATCAACGATATCCATGGGAGGTGGGTTTAGCTGAAATGGGTGATTTGCCCCCAACGTATGGCATTTTGCGAGGGACAGTGAGGTAAACTGGGGAGATGTTATTTTCAGATAACCCCATGTGGGTAAATGTTTGTTGAGAGGCTGTATAAACATCCACGCAGACATACATGCACCCGTACATATGTGTATATATATATACATACATATACATATATATATATATACATATATATATATGTATATATATATACATACATATATAGATACATACATTGTAACATCGCGCGCGTCCGGTATTTGATGCGCACCGGTTCGCACCGGTTCGCACCGGTTCGCACCGGTTCGCACCGGTTCGCACGGATTCTTTTCGCGCATACAGACATACACACATGCTTGCCTGTCTTTGTGTTCTTTTTTCGTCGGTGGACGTGACAAGCTACTTGACCAGCGTTGGCCAGATCCGATGACCCCTGAATAAAGAGGGTACGACGACACCACCACAGGTATTCCTGAACAATAACAGTTACTTCAGAACAGTGATACCTCTCTAAAGAACCATAAAAAGAAACATTATATTATCAAGACAATTTCTCTCAACAATCTGGATGATATATTTACCACATATTTCCTAGTTTCCATTTTTCGATTTTTTTTGAGTTTGCTGAAAGTGGCATGTTAGTTTCAACCTGCCAATTCCAAGTCGATTTTCCCAAGGACTATACGTATATAGGCTCACAGCAAGTGGTTGGCCTCTGTCACTAGGCCACACAGCCAGACATTCACTTTCAGCAAGCAAAGTCGCCTTTCCTTTTCAGCAAGCAAAGTCGCCTTTCCTTTTCAGCAAGCAAATTCAACCATGCAATTTCTAAACGTCTAGACACACCTTTCCTAGTCAACGCTTATTCATTTTCAGTGTGTGAAAGCCATGTCCGTCAATGCTTTCAAAGTGGCAGAGCTTTGGAGGAAGGTGTTCCAGTCATCAATCACTGTGTTCCAGCTGAACATGCGACCTGGCATGTCAGAACAGCCTCTAGGTGACTGGCAGTGTACATTCCCCAATTTCCAGCGAACCACATCAGACTTGGGCAGAGGGTCGTTGCCAGCTGTTGGATTTTTCACTGCTTCACTGCTGGATTTGACGTACCGTACGCACTTGAGTGCTGTGTTCTGGTCACTGTTCTGTAAACGCTGCGTAAACGTAGTTGCAGAATGACACTCATTCTTTTGCTCCCTGAGGATCCAGCTGCAGACTCAGTGCCTGGTCAGGACCCATCGCTAGGCCCCGTTCTGTTCTGAGCATCATTTCTTGACCACACTCTTGCAAGAAGCTGTTGGCTGTGTTTGTGGGTTTCGCATGTCAGGTGCCGCAGAAAGAGCAGCTCCTGAGGATGTGCGCTTGCTTGCATCGTTTGCTTCTTTGCAACATTTGGGGCCCACGTCGGCTCGCCTTGCCAGGCGATCCCACGCTCCCAAGGCAGTTTGGTTGCCAGCCAGTTGATGCATGAGGCACAGGCACAGGTGGGAAAGACAAATATCGATCGATTGATGAAAACTTTGCAAGAAGCAGCAGAAAAGAAGATTGGTACCTGGTATATTGTACATTCAAGTACGTTCATCCGTGCCGCGTGTTGCTCAAGCCTGATCTTGCGCCAGAGTACAGGAATAATGTTGTGAAGATGATCGTTCAGGCACCGCGCCTTAGTTTCATGCTACCAGACAGCCATGTGATGGTCCCTGGTGGACGCGCTCATAGCTTGACATTCCGCAATAAGAGTCTTCCTATCCGCTCCCGTAGCCTCCCTTTGTTTATCCGACGCATCTCTTTCCTTTTCCCTCTCAATGCCGGTACCCTCCCTTTCGGCGCCTGCGCGTAACGCGAGCATGGATGCCATTCGCCAGCAGGGCACGGCCCAGCAGGCAGTACAGGGCACGGCCCAGCGTCGGGGACAGGGCACGGCCCAGCCCCTCATCACGACATTCCGCAATAAGAGTCTTCCTATCCGCTCCCGTAGCCTCCCTTTGTTTATCCGACGCATCTCTTTCCTTTTCCCTCTCAATGCCGGTACCCTCCCTTTCGGCGCCTGCGCGTAACGCGAGCATGGATGCCATTCGCCAGCAGGGCACGGCCCAGCAGGCAGTACAGGGCACGGCCCAGCGTCGGGGACAGGGCACGGCCCAGCCCCTCATCACGAACTCAGTTGAGTCAATAATGGTGCACTGCTCCTGGCTCAGAAAGTTTAGGTCCTGGAATCTATAGACATGGTGACATGGTAGTCCATGAGTCAAAGCATGTTTCAATATCCATGAGCAGATACGCTACCACATGACAATATGAACTACGGATTTGTACTTTGGCGCCGCTCCTTAGTTGAACATTCTCTCCAGCTATGGCGTGCGCAGTGTGCACCCTAGAGTTTGAGGAGGGTGAGATCCGGCTGGACTTAGAATGTGGACACATGATGCATCAGGATTGTTGCCGCAGGTTGTGCAAGCTACGAAATTGGGAGGCTAGTGTCACATGTCCGACCTGCCGGTGCATTTGTGCCCCTGCGGTTCATGTGGCTACGCAGAAAGAAGTGCCAGCAACTCAGCCCTCTCAAGCGGGTCCAATGCATCTTGAAGCTGAAAGATCCCCAGGAACACAAGACCTTCCAAATTCCCAGCTGTCCACTCCGCATGACGAACACATTGTGCAAGACGCGGACTTTGGTTTCAGCCTGCCGGATGCCACCGTTGCAGCTGCCTTGAAATCGGATAGGGACCCGGCTGAAGCTTTTTGCGACAAGGTGATGTCTGCGGAGACGATCCAGGAATTCGCCAAGGCAACCTTCCCACCGGATCTATTTGATGGCTTCAGCGATGAGGCGACCATTGAGAAGACCATGCACAATCTCCTGGACGCTATGGTGGCAGACAAGCGCACTCACCGCGAGCTGGCCATGCGCTATGATTTCTCCATCTCTGGTATGGCTCCACTCCCACACATTGAGGCCGCCAAAGCCTTGTGCTTAAAAAATGGGTTACACCCGGAAACCTTCCTCCTCCTCATCCACAGCAACTTGACGTGGCTCGAGCATCACACAAGCCGCTTGGGTTCTGACCCGCCTCCTCCTGGCTTGGACGTTTTGGCCACCATTCTTGAGCCTGAGCCTCAAGATGACCTTTCTGACATTCTAGACGAAAAGAGTGCCAGGAAGAAGGCCAGAAGAGCAAAACACACAAGCCAGCCGGAGCAGCAGCAAGCTGAGCAGGATTCTCATAGCTTCGAAGAAGCCGCAGCAGCGTTTGTCAAGTCCACCACTCACAACACGCTTGCGGAGTATCTTGCTGCAGCAGCCACGCATTTTGGGCGGCCTATGCTTGACAATGAGCAAAAGGTCGTGCGGGCCGCGGTTCTGGAACACATGGCAGAGCTGGAGCTGAAAAAACCCATGGATGCAGCCGCTCCACAGGTTCCGCTCGAACTCAACTTGAAGCCCTCGTGCCACACCATCGGCACAGATAAAGCAGTCATGGCTGCCGGTTCAGCCTCTGCCCGCAAATCCTTCATGAGTGAGTTGACCAATGCGCCTTGGCGATGCATGGGGGCCAGCTTTGATTTTTTTGACAATATGTTTCGGTCATGATGCTAGGGCAACCTTGCCAATCTTTTTTGCCAGTGTTTTGTTGTCCCTCTTTCCAGGATTTGGTGCTTCGGTCCAAATTCGCTCCCGACTGCATCAAGAAGAATGCCGTGTACATGGTGGAAGCGACCTTCAAAGGCGTCAGGGCATGTATCCTCAGCCACAAACGGGTGTCAGCGAGCACCGATGAAATCATCACAGCTTTGCCAACACCATGGGCTGATCCACAGCAATCAGCCAGCCACATGCTCAGCAGATCAAAGCTTTGTACATGGACCCAGGGCGAGCGAGATGATGTGATGACTGGAGTCGGCATGATCCACTTGCGGCAGTACCGCTTCCAGCTCAAAATGCTTGGGCAATATGAGGCGGTGGAATGGTGCATGAAAATGACACCGCAAGCATTCTTCAAGCGCATCTCTTTCTCCATCATGCCTGATAGCAGCCCACAAGAAGAAGATATCAATTGTAGTCTCTCCTTTGGATTGTGGCAGGCCACTCATGACTTCATGTTCCAAGGCCCTTATCATTGCCCTTCCTTTGTGTACTGCGATGGGGTCGCTCTTGGTCTTCTTCGAACAATCCTGAACGCCATCAAACTTTGGATAGAAAAGCGCAAGTCCGCGAAAAACAAGACTTGCAAATGGTTCCTGATGAAAATTCTGTTTGCCAAGAATGACATCCTCCGGTCTGCCTTGCCGACGATGCGCATGGTTCAAAGCCTTGCGAAACTCAACAAGCACGACTTGGCCGACTCCAAACGCGTGAAAATTTCTCCACATGAACTCATGTGCGGAGTCCGCTGTTGGCTCAGATCGCTCGAGCTCCACGCCGGCTACTACCGCTTTGTGCAAGGTGCAACATCAACGGCTGGCGCAGAGTATCCTGATCGCAATCGCAACCCTCTGGCGGAGGAATTTCAAAATGCACAACATCCGGAAGAGGACCGACCAGAAGCACCTAGCTCTTCGGACGCGTTGAAGAAGGCAATCCTGCAGCATTGCCGCGGATGCGCGGACTTCCTTCCTGCGTCCCAGATCAGCAACAAATTGCGCAGCAAGGGGCCATTCAGGAAATTGCAGAACTTCTCAGCACTGGTCACTGAGCAAGCCGGTGTTTTGACCAACCATGGATTGCTTCAAAAGAAGGACCGGAACAAGAAGGGCAACCACAAGGACCAATACAAGGGCTTGACGTGGCAGCAAGTTCAAGCCGATGACAATGCAAGAGCGGCCTGCGAGAC